AAAAGACAATAAAAAAGAAATAAAACAGAATAAAATAAATTATTCACAAAACAAGAAGAAAACGTAAATAATAAATAAAAGAAATTAGTCAATTAAAAAACAGTGAATGAATGAGATTAGTTTTCACTGAAACTGTAAGAATAGAATAAAATTTTATTAACACTTAATTAATTAATTTTTATTCATAAGAAGTAGACACTTACTTGTTATTTAAATCTCTTTCTGTATTGTTAAAACTAATAACAAAAATTAATTTAATTTCTGTGTTAGTAAGAGACTTAAAACAAAAAAAATGGAGTGGTTGACTCGTATTTATCAGAAAGAAAAGAAAAATTAATCTAATCAAAAAGAAGTTTTAAAAATAAAAAAAAAGGAAAATGATAAAACTGTCATCTATAAATTCTCTAATTCAGTAATGTCAATAGACAGTAATTGGTTAGAAGAACTAGAGTTGTATAATAGCCTTGATGATAGTATTGATATTGACATTGAGATGATTGCCCGTTCAATGGAGAAATCAAAAAATGTGACTGTCTTAACTGGTGCTGGGATTTCGGTAGAATCTGGTATCCCTGATTTTCGGTTTGTCTTTTCTATCAGGTTTTCTAATCAGTTAATATAAACTAATAAAACAAGGTCATCTAACGGTTTATGGAAAAGGTATGACCCTTCTGTTTATGGAAGTTATTCTAACTTTAAAAAACATCCAGAATTATTCTGGAAAATGACGGAAGAAATTCATAAAATTACTGCATACCCAAATCATGTTCATGAAGCACTTGCTGAACTTGAAAAAATTGGAGTTGTTAAAACAATAGTTACCCAAAATGTTGATGGTTTACACCAACAAGCAGGATCAAAAAATGTTGTTGAAATGCATGGGAGTGGGAGGGCATGTTATTGTATTGATTGTGATTATATTTCAAGGGCTGATGATGACATTTGGTCAAAACCAGTACCTCCAAGTCAGTGCATTCCACGATGTCCAAAATGTGGTGGATTATTAAAGCTTGATGTTGTTCTTTTTGGAGAAAAATTAGATCGTGTGACATATGATGAAGTTGTTGAAGCATCAACAAAAATTGATTTTTTGTTAGTTATTGGAACGTCATTACAAGTAGCTCCCTGTAATATAATTCCATTTAGAGCAAAACATTGTGGGGCACAAGTTGCATTTATTAATTGCTCAAAAACACCAATGGATGAATATGCTGATTTTGTTGTTAGAGGAGACTTAAAAGAAATTGTTCCAAAAATTGCAAATAAAATCAAAGAAATAGTTTGTATTTGTTTTAATAATACATTTTTATTCAAAAAAATTTATTTGTTAGAGAGAAAAAAGGTTTAATGGATTAAAACGTGCTTGGCTGTTATCATACTCATTTGCTATTGTTATTGTTACAATGTTAGTAACATTCTATAATAATGTCTTCCATCAAAATTTAAAAATATCAACTCTAGATAATATTGATGGTACAGAAACACCTGTTGTTAGTGAATATGAACCAACTCTTAGAAGACATTCAATTCCTTTAGAAGAATGTGGTTTTGAATAAAAACAAGTATTATTATCATCTATTTATCTTTCTTAAATAAAAGAAATGTAACTCTGTTTTCTTCTTCTCTTTGATTTCATTTCACAATCAAATTAAACTATTTGTGTTTGAAATTGGTTTAAAAATGTTATTTAATTAATCTTCAAGCAGTTGTAATGCCTCTAAAATTTTTTGTTTTGTTTTCTCTATTGCACCAATTTGCATTGAGTCTTTGGCTTTATTAATTATACTCCATGCATTTACTATATCTTCAATTTTAATATTTTTTTTAATATTAACTTTATGTAAGAGAATTGGATTTTGACTTTGAATTGTATTAACGAGAGGAGATTGTTTATATTCTATCTTTTCATTTTTCTTTGGTTGTGTATGAACTTGGTTTTGTAATTGATTTGATGGTGGTATTGGTAATGTTGTTTGTGGATTAGTACTAATAGTAAATGTCTTTTGTTTTATTTCTTCTGTTGATGAGGTTTGTTGAGAAGAAACAGGGATTGTATTTTCTTTAGTAGAATTACTTGGGGTTGGGAATAAATTAATACTTTGTTGAGGTAATTGCTGTTTTGGTTGAGAAGGAACTGGGAACAAATTTTGTTTTGTTTGTTCTTTTTTTTGATTAACTGGTTGTTGTTCGACTGGAACAGGAAATAAGTTTTGTTTTAGTTGTTGTGTTTGTTGAGAAGGAGTAGGAAATAAATTCTGTTGAATTACTTGAGAGTTTGGAACTGGGAAAAGATTGGTATTATGTTGATTAAGAGAAGAATTATTTTGAATAGGTTGTTGAGGAGTTAAGACATCTTTCACAAGACTAACACCTTCAGGGATAAAATGAGAAAGTACAATAAAATTTTTAACTTGTTGAAATTCATTTGGAAGAGGGATGAAAGCATTTAACAAATCGATCATATCAACTACAAAAAGAAATATTTGTTTTGCTGATTCTGGGTTTTGTTTGAAAACATTTTGACCCGACAAATAATATTTTTTGATAATTTCTTTAATATAACTAATTTGAAGTTCACGGTCATCAATGGTATTTCCCAACGCTTGTCTTAATAAAGTCTTTTTTGATAAAACTATATTATTTTGTATGTTTGATTGACTACCAAACTCATAACAATGATAAGCAAGCATTGGTTCATAAAGGTAAAGTTGATCTCCATAAGCAATATATCTTTCATACATTTTTATTTTTTATTGTTATGTCATTTTTTAGTTCTGAATGAAGAATAACTGATTGTTTACAAAAAAGAATGAATATGAAACAATCTTAAAATGATAAGTCTTTCATTAAACTTTTTACAAAAGGAAAAAATAAAAGAAAGAACTTATTATAGTTACAAAGCTACATAATGAGTGATTTAACTGATTTGATGAAAAAATTCCGTGAGAAAAAGGGAATTGATGATGCAACATTAGCAAAAAATCAAGAAATAAAAGAGATTACAAATAGGGCAAAGGCTGTTGATGCAGAAACTGATTTAGAACGAAGGAAAAGAGAAAGACGAGAAAGAAGAGAGAGAGAAGAAAGAGAAGCAGCAGAAAAAGTAGGTTCAAGCACTTCTAGAGTTGAACGAGTAAGTAGTAGTGCTGATACAGCTGAAGAGGCTCGTGAGAAAAGACGACTTGAAAGACAAAGACAAAGAGAAGAAGAAAAACGAAGACTAGCAGAAGAAGAACGTAAAGCCCAAGAAGAGAGAGAAGCAAGAAGAAAAAAAAGAGAAGAAGAACTTCGTATTGCAGAAGAACAACGAGAGGCTCAAAGAAAAAAAGAAAGAGAAGAACGTAGAAAAAGATTAGAAGAAGAAAGAAAAGCATTAGAAGGGTCTTCTGTAACTGAAAGAACTGAACGAGCTGCACAAAAATTAAAACAAGCAACGTTAATTGGAACTAAAGAAGTTAATAAAGATTCAACTGAAACAAAACAAGGAAACCAAAACATTTCAAATAATGAACAACAAACAGAAGAAATTCGTTCTGGAAAACAAAGTATTCAGTTAATTGAATTAAAGGCAAATAACGAAGCATTAAGAAAACAAGTTGAAGCATTAACAAAAGAAAAAGAAGACTTCCAGAAAGGTGCAGGAAATAGACAAATTGAACTTGAAAATAAGATCAAAGAAAATATTAAAGAAATAGAATTATTAAAAGGTGATTTAGAATTGTATCGTGGAAAACAAAAGGAGAAACCATTGTTCCATACTAAACCATCAAGAAATTTAGAATGGCCTGATGAATTAAAAATGCCAGTTCTTAAAGTTGGTGTTAAAGCAATTGGTATTACTGGATCAGATGATGCATATATTGGTGAGATTATTGGTGATAATGGAAATAAATGGCAATTTACTGAAACATTATCAGTTTTAAAACATAAGGTATTTCCATCACCAGAAGTTATGCAAGAAACTATTGATAATTTACTTATGGTTAATAACAACCTTAAGATTAGACAACAAGAAATGGAAAAAGAACATCAAAGATATGTTAAAGGAGTTGAAAATGAAATGAAGCAATTACGTGCTGACTATGAAAAGTTAAGAGACGTTTATGGTGCTGATGTTGTTAAAATGCATGCCAATATCAATAATAGAGTTTCTATGGCATATGGATTAGAATGTAATATGGCAGTTCAAGTTGCTGAAGCCATTAAAGATGTTAAAGATTATTCAAAAGGTAAATTAAGATGGTATTCAACAACTTCAAAGAGTGATGATAAATTATGGGCTGATTTGAAGAGAGAAAATAATGAGATGATTAATTATCCAAAAGGAAGACACGATTTTAAAGCTCGTTTATTCCAATTTTATACATCAGAAGATAATGAATTATTATGTAATGAATTAAGGTCATATAAACAAGAAGATTTGACTCATGGAAAGGCATTTATTCTTGACACATTTAATGAAGTGTTCGTTTATTATGGGACTGGATGTCCAAAAGAAGATAGAGCTAAAGTTACTTCAGCTGCATTAGCATATAATAAATATAGTGATGATGGAAGGTCAGTCAACACACCTGTTATTCAAGTTGAAAATGGACAAGAACCTGTTCGTTTCAGGTTACAGTTCAAAGGTTGGGACCAACGTAAAATTATTGACCGAGAGACTCAACAAAATATCTTTACTGATAATGGAAAGTACTTCGGTTATGCTCAACTCCTTAATAGTGACAAACTTCCTGATTGGGTAGACCGTTCTTGTTTAGAAGAGTACTTGAAAGATGATGAGTTTAAAGGAGTTTTTAGAATGGAAAGAAGTGAATTTAATATGTTGCCAAGATGGAAAAAAGATGCTGAACGAAGAAAAGCTAAATTATTCTAATTAATTTTTTGAAGCTTAACATTGTTTTTTTTTATTTAATTTCAAGGTTATTAAAACTATTGGTAAATAAAAATTGTTTTATTATATATATGTTATATAAAACAAAATGATATTAAAAAGTTGTTATTTCAATAAAACCCTTAAAACTTAAATAATTTAAATTAGAAGATTAATGAAATTGGACAAACACTCTCTGTATGATGTTGTTGAATATTTACCTCAAAGGTATTACAATAGGTTTATCTGTATCAATAAAAAATGTTTTAATATTGTTGAACATCATCCAAATGAAGCATTTCTTCATTACAAGTCAATAACAAGTTCTTCTTCAATTCTTCAAATTGAAGAAAAGAACTGTTTAGAATTACCAATAAGTCAATTTGATAATTATATTAATCAATTTGAGTTATGTTTAAAACTAAAGATTCTAAAAGACCAAAATGAAACATTATCTTTTGAAGAATTTATTACACCTAATATTTTTAGACATTTATTAGAAATTAATATTCCACTTAATGTTGTTACACCTAATCTTTGTATTAATCTTGATGATGTTGGATTTGGAGAATTAAAGATTGTTATGATTCAATCAGAAGACATTGTTGGTAGTCAATTAGAAAGTGTTAATATTATTAAAAATAATTTTGTTATTCTTAAATTATTTGATTGGAATTTGTGTCATTTCATTCAACGAGAAAGAACAAATATTCGTGTTATCATTGAACCAAATAACTTAAATGAGTTATATTCAAATAACATCGATAAAGAATATACTCCTTTTAATTTGATTAATTGGTATCAAAAATATCATGAACAAATAGATAATAAACAATTCGTATTAAATCAGTCATTATTTAATGATTATGAATATAATTCAAGTGATAATATTGACTTATTACTTTCATTATATTTACCATCTTTACATTCCTTTAATCTTCCTTCATTTTCTATAGTTAGTTTAAGAACATACAACCCTTTTATTGAATGTTGTAATTTAGTAGAATTATCAGTTGATATTAAACACTCACATTTAACCCAAATACATTTTAATTTTTCTCAATTTACTTCTTTATCTAAGCTGTGTTTATTTGCTCATCTAGAAAATAGGTCTATAAAAATCCCAGCTCAAATACGTTATTTGGTTTTAAATCAATTTGTACGGCACTTGTCTAATATTATTATTCTTCAGAATGACCAGTTTATTGGAAAAGGACTTTGCTGTCTCAACCAATTAAAACATCTCGAGATCATTGGAATATCTGATAATAAAGTTGATTTCCCTCAGTCACTCCATTCATTAAAAATTCAGTCTGTAGACATTAATGTCATTAGTACAAAGAATCTAACACAATTAACAAAATTATATATCCATGGACCAAAAATTTCTGAATTAGATTTACCAATTCCACTCTGTGAACTAACACTCATCCAATGTCGTAAATTACAAACATTGAACGTTTATGGTAAAATGCGAATTATAGACAAGATAGAAGCTTGTCCAAAGATTTCATTAAAAAAGAAAATTGAGTAATCAAATGATCTAATTTCTTTTATAAAATAAAAACAACATTATTATTCTTATATGTTTCAACAATACAAAAGAAAAGGTGTGGGTATTGGTTCTGAATTAAGTATTAAAAAAACAATGAATAATCCAAAAAAATGTCAATTCACAAAAATAATTTTAATTGTTTTTTTTTGCATTTTGTTTCATATTCTATATTTTGAATGATATTTCTTTCTTGACTTTGTATTAAAAAGAAATGAATCTTTATCATTATTCTTTCATTTTTCCCTTGTCAAATTTAAAGATAATATCAGTAAAAATAAAATATCAATTTGATTAATTTATATTAATGATAAGCACATGATGTATTGATGAATATTATTCGAGTGATATAGTAGCTATATATGTCTGAAGAATAAAGAAAGATGGAAAAAGATAGAATAAGAAATAGTCAATAAACTTTTGATGATTAGTGAATAGAATGATGTGCAATACATGATTCGATATTTCAAAATGACATAATTGAAAACATTATTCAATGAAGTAGTTATTCAAGTAGTTTAATAGTTTCATACTAAGTTTTTTTAAATACTAATATTTATACAATAATGAAACTGATAAGAAAGAAAAACAACAAACGTTAAATTTTTATTTTTCTATGGATATAGTAATCATAATATAATTCATTTTAGGAATATCTGTATTTATCAATATAGATAATGTATATGAATATGACATTTTAAAATAATTTATGATTTTAAATATCTATAACAAGGAGATGTTTTAGTAAAA